TGAGCTGAGATCAAGAGTTGGACACGTAACCTACTGAGCCACCCAGGGGGCCCTAATGAACTATATTGTATCTCAAATTTCATAAAATAATGCTTGCCATGTACAAAAAACCCCACAAGAATTAAAAAAATAAAGAGCCCCAGGATCATGAGAATCCCTATAAGAAGACCATTATTTTAGAGACAATATGATACTTTAGAGCATAGAGATTCAATCCTGATTCTTTGTTAACAATTTAGCTTCGTCTGACCAATGAACACTTCTGATTCAGATTGCTGTCCAATGATAGTAGTCTTTGACTTTCAGTTAATATTAGCAATGTATTTCCTTTGCATCATGGTAATAACTGCACACTGAAAGGCCCACTCTCCAAAAATGGATCCCATAGTATACAAAAATCTTTAAACAAATTTAAACTGAAAATTTGGCATTAAAAAGTGTTCTTCCTAAAACATATAAGGAGAGGAATGAATTGAATCTCTTCCATAGTACTACTTCTGGTAGTGTCTGACCCTTTCTTAGCTGTTGAGATATTTCTTTCTGCTTCTTAAAAACAAAAACAAATAAAATGTACTCTTTCTCTGTAACAGGCTTTCATCAGCATATTAAAAAAATATCTCCTGTTCTGATAACTGAAATTATATGCTTATATTCTTAAAAATAAGCCAGGAAAGAGTTAACATGAATATTTCTATTCAATCCCCAAACCTCCAGGGGGAAAATATGTTTTTGAACCTTAAATTATAGGGATGAAAAGTACAAGGGTCCCACCAATTGTGAAGTTCAGTGAGGAATAAAGCATTGTAATCTTAGCTGTCAGCATAAAAAGCATCTCTCAGAAGCTTTGTTCCAACTATAATAACTTGGTGTGCTGGCTAGAAAAAAAATTTATGATCATATGAGCTTCATGCATGATTGATACCATTACTGTTTATTTTAAGACTGTCCTTGAGAATCAATCAAATAAGCATTCCCAGTGTATGTTTTGCAATCAAGAATGAAGAACACAATATAAGTGCTTTTCTGGAGAATATGTGATGGACTATTCTTCCTATTAGAGCTTCCTACCAAAAAGAAATACCTAATAAAGGTGAATCAGGCAGAAATTCATGTCAGATGTTCTTTATAGTATGTTGAATTAACAAGCAGCTACTCTTATGATTGAAAAAAGAAAAATAGAGATTATCATTACACATAAGAAAGTATATAAACCCAACTAAGGATATGCTCAAGTGCTTAAAAAAACTAATTGGAAATAATACAAACTATGAAGCATAATCTAATCTAAGTCATTAGGAAATCTCCTTTGTATCAAATGAGGTTTTTAAGGTCTCAGATTGCACAAGCCTCTTATCATTCATAATTAAACGTTTGCATTGTGTAATAAATATGGATGACATAACTTAAATACTCTAAAAAATAACTCTTTTTCCATGAACCATTTTTTTTCACATACATATTGAAGAAGGGATCATGTATATTTGAAATGAAATCTCTTTTTTAGTAAAATCAACTTTTCTTGCATAATGATTGAACTGAGGAATTCAAACTATAAAGATATATAATAAAATTTATGTCTAGCCTCAAAAAGAAAACTTAATAATCATCCAAACACTGATGCTATCCCAACAATCTCTGAAAGCAAATCTAAGACTTTCCCAAAGCAAGTAGCCATCAATCCAGACTCTCCCTTCTACTCCATAGTGAGCAAAATAAAACCAAGCACTTACTTTTACCCACCTTCCCAATGCTCACCTTACCACCATCACTACTACCACTAAACTGAAGCAAGAGGCCCTTCGGCTTACAACATAAATAACAGCTTGCCATTTTCATTCCTTCAGTCTATGAACTAATTACTCCTTCATTTCAACATTAAATCATCTCCTGATTTCAGTGTTAGACAGAAAAAATCCATCGGTGGCATATAACTCTAAAAGTTCAAATTTGCAATCAAGAGAAGTCTGGACTTTCAGCCCCTTTGCATCTCTCTTTTTTTTTCAGAAAACCAAAGTTGTATTTTTCAAAAGGTTAAACAGTTTTGGTTTTTGAAATGGGGTTTCTGTGTAATACAATCATACTTAACATCTGTAAACTTCTGTAACTCTTGATAATGGTTCTTACTTTTTCAAATACTTTGTTTCTCTACCAACCATCACTTATTACATGGAGTCATAAGAACAGTTTATATAAACACAGTTATATTCAGAATATGGCCTCACACATGGCATTTATTATGCACACTTTGTATATAAATCTGTTACATGAAACATGTTCAAATGCTGTGCAACAGGTCCTGTTATTGTGTAAACACACACTCCCAACAAAATGACAGTAAGCTTTAAAGAATCAACAATATTTTAAAAATCACATTATTCTTCTTTTTTTTTGAGACGTCAGAAGACAGAAGATCTCATCAAAAGTAGTATATTTTACTAAAACCCTCTTACTGTCTTTGTATTCCACTGTGTATGTTATAAACTGGAGTTAGAGCCCAGGTGTATACACACTTTCATTGATTTACTGCACATTACTGGCTTCAGTGCTGAGTTGATGACAGGAAGAGTACTTTGGCAGAGGTCTGACAAGTCCTTATCCTCAAGTTCCCTTCTGCTTTATGTCTGTCTGTTCCCAAAGCTGTCAAAGTAAAGCAAATGACAGACTAAAACCTCTCAGTTTTGCCCTGAGAGTGTGAAATCAAATTAAAAACACACCTCAGAACTACTACATTGGGCCACGTTTATTTTCAATTGACGGGGGAGGGGAAGAGAAGACACTTTAAAAGAGATGGATTTCATGTCCTCTGTAGTCAGATCTAGTTACAGTGTATTAAGTTATGTCTAAAAAAAAAAAAAAGACCGTCTAGTCAAGTGTTTAACACAAAGTAATGTTATTAAACATATCAAGTATTCCCACGCTCTCCTCTAGATTCTTTGATTTTAACCTCCTTTGTTAGGCACAGAACATGGGTAGGAAGATTTCAGGAACAATACCAAGGAAGCACATGATGCCAAGCAATGAATTCTGTATTTCCTGAACAGTTTATTCATCATAAACTCAAACTGCTTTTATTAAGCCACACGTTTGCTATATGTAGGACTTCGCCTCTTCCCTGGGTGACAAGCATGGACCGGCTACAAATGTATCTCCGAGCGCGCAGCATCGTGCTTTGTGCTGCTGGGGATAACGGATTCTCAGTCTCGCGCGCATCCATCACCTAAGACACAGGGAAACTCAACAAGGGTCTCGGCAGCAAAGGAAACAATGTGTAGAGACCCAGGCTGCTCAGGATCCCAGGAGTGAACGAAATGTTTCAGGGAGCAGCCCAGGCAAGGGAGAAGGAAGAAAGCTCTCATACTCTTACCTCCACATTGAAATACTGCTCCGTTCCGCAGACGGTAGCACATAAAATCCAAAGCAGGGTTTGCAAGAAAAATACCCCCGAATGATGCACGAAATCCAACCGTCTTCCAGTGCTGAATGTGAGTAAGATCATAGTGAACTGTGCTTCAATGGATGGACGAGCTCCCCTACGTTTTCTCCCTTTCTCCCTCTCCCTCCCTCCCTGGTTTCCTTTCAGAAAAAGTCCTCCGTGTGGGTAAGGAGCCTGCAGGTTCACCCACAGCCGGGCAAGGGGAGAAGACTGAGGGCCCAGCACTCGGCAGCCCCCGAGAAACAGCGGCGGAGGCAGGGTCAGCAGCAGCCTGCATTCACCATCCTCGAGGGCCCGTCACCGGGAACGTGGCGCCCAAGTTCACCGGCGGTTCCGGCTCAAAGCGCCGAGTCGCAGCCGCAGCAGCAGCCGCCGCCGCCGCTGCCGCCGCCGCCTCCAGCCCGTGCGTCCTCCTCCTTCTCCTTCTTCTCCTCCTCCTTCTCCACCGCCCACTCCTCCGCCGCCGCTGCCACCTCCTGCTTCTGCGGGAAGGGCCTCCGCCGCTCCTCGCTTCTCGCCTCTGCTTCTCCTTCCCTCCTCTCCTCGCTCCCCTCCAGAATGTTCATCCGTAATCTACATAACTCCTCCTTCCCGGGGGTCTGCCTGACTCTCGGGCCCTCAGCGCGCGCGCGCACACACACACACACGCACACACACACACCGGCGCGCGCGCACACACACACACACACATATCTGCACATGAGCACACACACAACTCCACACACAGACGCGCGCGCTCTTCTTAAAGGAGACGGCTTGTGAAGGGGAACCGCTACTGTACCGCGCACTGGAAGTAACCAGACCTCCAGAAGGGCCCTGCGTTGGGACGAGGTCCTTGACACACCGCCCACCCCCTCTTCCCCGAGACTGGAACCCAGCAACCTGGGCGGCTCCATCCTTTCATCTCGCCCACCCCCTCCCGAGCATCTAGAAACAAGTGCGCCCCTCCCCTGCGGGGACTGGGTGGGGCTCAGGCTGCGGACCCTGGCTGGGGCTGGGGAGCGGCGCAGGCTTGGTCCTGGAGAGTGGCTGGCGTCCTCAATCAAGCGTCCCTGGAAGGTCGGGGGAGCGCTGGGAATCCGGGAGCGCCGAAGTCACTGCGCGCTCTTCGGGCGCTCGCGTCGGCTGCCAGGCTGGTCAAGTTTGGGAAGCCTGAGATGGCAAGTCCCGAGCGTCCAAAACTTTGTTGGGGTCCACCGACCGAGCCTGTGGCCCGTTGTTTCCCTGAATTTCTTCTACCATCGCTACAGCCCGCCTTTTCGGGCTAAGGGAGTAGGCACGGGATTTGGGGGTTGGTGCCTAGTCAAATACAGAAGCGGGAAGAAAATGCTCACTTTCCAAAAATGTTCTATCGGGTGGACGTATGTACACACTGGGACCCAAGAGAGGGTCCCTGGCGTTAACAAAGCCCCGGGCCAGGGAGGGTGGGGACGCTGGAAAGAAACCCCGCTGCTAGAGCGAGGGGAAGGGCTGGGGAGGAAAAGAGGGGGCCCAGCCTGAGGAAAGACGAGTAAAGCAGCCGGCAAGGGCGGGAGGAAGAGGCTGCGCGCAGACCGAGCGAGGGGAGAGGCTGGCGGGAGCGAGGAGAGCCGCAGGACGGAGGAGGAGGCGGCTGGCCGGCGGCACAGGAGAACAGCGGGCAGGGGAACTTCAGAAGAGGCTGCCAAAAAGGACTCGAGCCGCAGCAGTGTGAGGCAGTGGACAGCGGGGGCAGCAACCGCCAGCCCTTGGCAGGTGATGCTTTGGCTGAGAGAGAAAGGGGGAAGGGAAGCAGGCAGGCCTCTGTTTGGGGGCCACGCCAATAAATGTGCTTCTCCTTGGCAGCCAGCAGAGGGGAAGAGGAGCCCGCGGGAAAGAAATGCAGGAGAGGTTGAGAATAAAGGCTGCTCCAGGTGTGACAGCTACCTCGGTGAGGTGGAAGACGGAATTGACAAGGCAAATTTCATGGGTGAGTTGGTAGAACAATAAATAAACCTGCAAGAGGTCATATTTGGTAAGCAAATGAAAAACGCTGAAAAACGCTTTGCCAAAATTGCACTGAACTGTAATAATTTGCATACTAAAGAGAAACACAAGAAAGCTAAGGAATAGGATTTTGCAGCTAATGCTTTAAAAAAACTGAAGGAAATATGACCCACCTACTTTGACCCAAGACTCTCAGGGAGCCTTTTCTGACGGTCTGCTCCATGCACAACATGTCCTATCCACAAAATAATTTTGAAGACATCATAAGAAGAAATACCTTATATTGTATAGCATATTAAAATTTGCAGAATGTTTTCACACATAGTATCTCATTTAATTCTCACAACATTCTTGAGGATTTTGTTTTTGTTTCACAGATGGAAAAATGACGGTTATAAAAGATATTTCCAGCAAACCATTCAAGTGGCAGATTTCAGACCTGAGTTTTCTGACTCCCAGTTCAGGACAGTTCCTGCTACATGACAGTGACTTTCCATATAGAAATCCTTTTCTCCTTTTAACAGTTTTATAACCCATGGGTTGAGATGATGTACATTAAAAAAAAAAAAACACAACGATTAGAAGGCAGCATGAAAACAAGACCATTATATAGAAGTTATACAGTGTTGTGTGCCAAAATGAAATAACAAAATGTGGTGGAGAGTATTTGTCAATAAATCAACAATCATTTTAATGTATACATTATATTTAGCAAAGTGCAAAATTAGAGAGGGGAGAGAAACAAAAAAAAATTATACCCTTTTCCTAATCCTTGAGATACTATTGAAAGGAGGGAGAATTAAAAAATTTATGCAAGTTGTACATGAGAAAACGGTTCTAAATGGTGAAGTCCTTGCTAAATGAGCCAGAATATTAGCAGACTTTGGCGAGGAAGTGGAATCCAAGTTGAGTGCTGCTATCAGCAAAGAGGGATTTCTCACTGCAAGCAACCTGGTTGTTGAAGAAAATACCTGAGCTCAGAATAAAGAGATGTGGAGGATAAGATACGGGGAGGAGCTTGCAATGAAATATTGAGTTAACATTTCATCAAATAGTCAAACAAGGATTGCTAAACCATTTTAGATAGGAATAGGTACTAAGAAAGATTATCTTCAGAATTATGCACAGGATTGGTGATAGGGAGAAACTGGGTGCAAAAATGTGATGGTTTAAAAAGGTTGTAGTCCAGCTGTGAAACTGTAAGGGCCTATATTAGTGAGGTATCCTTGGAAACTTATGCTTTTGAGGAGCCAAGAACAAGGAAATAAGAGTAGGGAACCATAAATTCAAAAGATAATCTCAAATTAATGATTTGTAATAATGATAAATTTTTACAAACATTTATTAAATTCTTTGGTGGGCAGTCAATGAGCAATGAATGAATTAATGTGTGTTCAAGGTTCTAGAAGTACTAACAGAAATAAAATAAATAAAATAAAATAAAATACTGAGACCGATATGTAATAATTTATGGCAATGCTGTAAGGACTCAAGTAATTACATATGTGAGGTGCTACAGAACAAGGTGGAAGAAGGTAGTGATTTTCCTTGAGGTCCTTGGAGAAAGCATCACAAAAGTACTGGTTTTCAAAGGATATCTTGAAGAAAGTGTAGAAATTTATCGGTCAGATAAGAAACGGAAGGATATTTCAGACCTGTGTGCAATGGAGGAGTAAACATTACAAGATGAATCTGAAGAACTACAAATGATTTGTCAGGGCTGCAGACCAAGGTGTGTGTAAAGGTCAAGGTCAGAGGTTGCAGAGATCATATCAGGGAAAGTCCTGTGTGCCATTTCAGTCTTTAGACTTTTTACCCTAAAAGAATTCTTAGGAGAAGATACATGAATTTTCACTACATTTGTTGTATGTTTGCCAACTCTGTGGAAACAGTCACCTTTTAGAAGTTCTTATATTTTTTACTTCAAATGTTCTATTAAGCATTTAATATCTACTATCTTTGTAGACCTTATATCTGTGCTAGTCTAATAAGCCTGACGAAACAGTTCCCCATATGGACTCATCTGGGTACCTGTGGATATGTAATCACTTCCTTGTCAGGTAAGTTTGTTATTCCATCTCTCATCTGTAATGTAGGCTTATCTTTTAAGAGTCAGAATTATGAAGAAGTTCCTACTCTCATATCTTAGTAGTGTTAGCTTCTTAGTTGGTGGTCTTCTTAGAGAAGAACTTGTTTTTCTATCCTCAGTAAGTTAAAATATAGAATATCATTCTTCCCTTTAGAGTGTTAATTAAATCTGTCCTCACACCTCTTGGCCCTTGCTGTGTGTGCTTTCTGTCACATACTTCCTTTCTTCTCACAATTTCACAAAACTAATGAACAATCTCAGAATTACATGTGAATGGAGAACAGAGAATCCAAAAAAGATTAAAGAAAATGAATAAGAAAGCCAAAGGAAAATAACAATTGCCCCCGACAAAGGGTAATAGCAATTCAATAAAAATTACTTAGGAGAGAAAGGGTCTGAAGAAGTAAATGATATATATGACTCCCAAGAGACAAATGACAGATACTTGTAAGTGAGCAGTTGAGTGGCATGCTGAGATGCGTGAATGACTACAACTACCCAAAATAACGTTAGAGGTGAATAATATAATCATGGAACCCAATTTCTTAATGAACTAGAGCCTTAGAAATGAGTTCTACAGCTTGGAAAGTTACATAAACTTGTTCATTCCTCTATCATTTCAATTTATGTGCTTTCTTCTCTATTTGCATCCATTGAACCTGCAGCTCTTTGTTTTGTTTTAATTCAGAGAATATTGAATTAGTGCTGAGCTATAGGCATTCTCTCATGCATCTGTTATTAGCAGGGGCATGCATATGTAGAACAGCCAGCTACAGCCTTATAATTTAAGGTGTGTCCCTGGTGGAACTGCAGGGTCTTAGAGCTTGTTGGAAAGGGTGATTCTCTGCTGCACCAAGATCCCCCTGTGATTCATACACAGGATAGAGTTGAAAAGTTGCTAGCTATAATCACTGCCCCTGGAGATAGTGATTTTTTTTTCCGTTTCCTTCATTGACTTATGCTCTCCTTTATGAGTATCTCAAATATTTGGTTTTCTGCTCATTTATTTGTTCATTCTTTCCCCCACTGACCATTCATTAACCACCATAAAATACCAAGTGATTGAGACTGTAAAAAAGATAAATGTGAAGAGTTAAAGAGGGCCACCTCGGTTTGGTTAGCATCTAAGACAGGTAAGAATGAAGTCTTGGATTTTATGGTTGTTTTCACTTGAATTTACCATCAACATAAATAAATAGCTAGCAGTGCAAAACTTAGAGATAAGATTTAGGTATAGATGAGTGAGTGGAAAGGGCCTCCAGTGCCTCCCCATTTCTTCATCAGGCAGTACCTGAAGTTTGGAGGTCTAAGATGGCTGGGAAGTATGAGGAACTCACCAGATGAGAGAAGGAAAAAGAAAACCGGTATACAGCCTTTCATACCATTAGGCTAGGGTGGTGGGGGAGTCTTGTCTGTGGCCGTAGTTGTGTCCATCACCCTGTAAGGGCATTCCTCCAGCACTACAACTACTATGTTCTTCCCAGTGACCTTGGTGTGCTGTAACACACACAGGATTGGAAGCTCAGAGTCTAACTCTGTTCTTCTCTCGCTTTACCATCTTCCTCAGAAAGATTCTTCGATACTAAATTTTATCTGTTATTTCTGCCCTAGTGATTTTCCCTACATGTCTAGCCTTAAGCCCAATCCTATGGTCTAGAATTCATATTATCACTTTCACCTAAAACTCAGTATGTCCCCAACCCACTTTATCACCTTTTCCTTAGATGGGGTATCCCTTAGTTCCCACATTTCAATCTGGACCCACTAGTTCATCTGTACCCATGTGCTCACTAAACCTTGAACCCCTCTGACTAATACTAATTTACGCTCTAGGTTGAACCAGTCACCGGTAGCTGTCATGTCTTTCTGTCCAATACCACTTTGATTCATTCCTTCACCTGCACTTGTAGTTTATCACTGTCCCTTATAAATTCATACTCTGTCGTCTCATTACTAACCACTGCAGTAGCCTCCAGTATGTTGTGCATACATTTGTTCTTTTTTTGTCTCCAACTATTCTTCATGCCAGTCCATTGAAGCATTCCCCTTCTACTAATCTTAAATATCATGTTCAGCATAGACATAGCATGTATAAGTTGGAAAGAAATTTTTAAAGTTCTCTCCTTTAAATTCCTCATCATTCAGAAGAGAAGATTGAGGCTCAATAAAGAGATTGAAGTTAAATAAGTCCTGTGACTAGTTGGCAAAAGTAACGACACATATATTCTGACTTACAGCTGAATTGCTTCTCTAAAAGAAAAAGATTCATTGTAAACTACGTTAGGCATGCAGGAAAACACCATGAACAAACAACCCAGGTTAAGACATAGTTTCATTGCTGTTTCACCCAGACCATATAAATAATTGCCATAGACTAAAATTGGATAATGCTCAATGGATTATCAGACTTGTCATGATTTAGAATGGGGTGACAGATCTGATGAGAAAGGACATGTTATTCTGTAGGTGGCTGCAGAAGAGGAGGGGTGCCTGGGTGGCTCAGTCAGCTAAGCACCCAACTCTTGGTTCTGGCTCAGGTCATTATCTCAGGGTGCTGGGATTGAGCCCCATGTTGGGCTCCTCACTCAGCAGAGTCTGCTTGAGATTTTTCTCTCTCTCTGTCCCATCTCCCACACCATGCTTGCACTCTCTCTCTCTCTCTCTAATAAATAAATAAATCTTTTTAAAAAATGGGGAAAAGGAATTGAGGAACCTTTAGACACTGCATAGCTTTAGGAAAATTATATTTCTAAATTTCATTTTCTTCATCTATAAAATGGGATGTCATACTCTCTGGGCAGTTGTGAAGATTAAATGAGATATTATGTGTAGAAGCTTTCTATAAATTTTGAAATGCTAAAAAACATAAGGAATTATTACAGCATGTGACTATGTCATGCTATACATAGAGAAAGCAGGCAGCAAAGATTCACTGGGACTGTAGTTAACAAAGGAAGTTAAAACAAGTTAGAAATGTTCAGAGTGAAGACACGATGAGAATATTCCTAATAGGTTATATTAGAGAGTAACAAGTGCTGTGTGTTTCATTGGTATTAATAGAAATGATAAAGGTTTTCATTTCTTAGCAAAAGAGAAGGAGCTATAGAATGGCAGTCCTTAACATTGTTATCAAAATATAATTAGCCCCCTTTGAACTATTACATACTATATTAAATGTACTTTTCATTAGTTCATGGGCAAAGAAAAGAAAATGGAAAACAGAATGGAAATTAGATTGGCATCCATAAAAGCCATAAGATAACAATAAAAATGTATGATATAGAAGTGAATATTTTATATTAAATTAGAGGCATTGAATTGGAATTTAAACTTATGGAGTTCAGAAAATCTTTTATGAGCTAATTTCCCACAGTAATGAGAAACTAAACATCTAAGTTGAAATGTCCTTTTCTACATATAAGAACAAAAATAAAAGTGAATTAACCCATATCACTATAGTTATAATTAGAGGAAAGACAGTAATAGAAAGATGAGAAAAGATGTTGAATAATCTTAGTTCTAGTGTATCTAGTGCTTCCACTGTATGTTTCATGATTTTGAAATGATTTAATCACACTCCCTTAATTCTAGAATAGGTAGAATCATTCACATGTTGCTTATTATTAACAAACTTAATATGATAATGAACTTGGTTGTCTACTACAACTTTTGCTATCTGACTCACTCTTTCCCTCTTCATTGAAGAGTAGAGCATTCTAATGGTCTGGTAGTCTAATAGGGAATTACTATTTCATACACATTTATAAAATCTTTGCCCCCAAGAGATTCATTTAATCTATCATACATGTTAGATGTTGTCATTGTTTTATTAATATCATTAAGATATCTGGTTCCATTTTTGTTGGAATAGTGTTTCTAGGCAAGGCCAAAAATAAGTGACTCATTCATTGCAAATTATAAAGTAATCAATATCTGGAAATCTGGAGACTTATAAGAATTTATTTCTTCTTTGAAAAAATTAGCTACAATCATTTCAAATGAGCTAAGACTTATAGAATTTGTGAGTATATAATCAAAATATAAGCAGTGTGATTTTAATATAAGAGCATAAGTCAATGTCAAATCATAATTTGATACTACAGTTAGTAATTACTTAGCTTTTTGGGGAAATATGTGACTATTCTCTATAAGATTAAAACTTACTCATCCAAATAAAAGTCTTAAAAATGAAAGAGAAAAATTTTTTTCTTCTATATCAATTGTCATCATATATTTCTAAGTAAAATTATCATCATATTAACCCAAGGAGTCATGAAAATATTTTATGCCTTGGCTTAGACTCTTATAGTTTCCATAGGACAACCAAATATACTACTCAGAGATACAATTTAAGAGTTACTATAAAAGGGGCACCTGGGTGGCTTAGTGGGTTAAGTGTCTGCTTTCAGCTCAGGTCATGATCCCAGGACCCTGGGATCGAGTACCTCATCAGGCTCCCCTGCTCAGAGGGGACCCTGCTTCTTCCTCTGCCCCTCCCCCTGCTTCTGTGCATGTGCACGCTCTGTCTCTGTCTCTCTCTCTCTCTGTGAAATAAATAAATAAATAAAATCTTAAAAAAAGAGTTACTACAAAATAATTCTGGAACATGATAACTCTTTTGGAATTTTAATTTATCCTTATCAAAGGTACATCTGCATTTACCCATTTTTAATTTTACTTTTTAAAAATTCTTAGTCATTCTTAAGATAACTTTTATCTTCTACCTTTAAAGAATCTTACTCAGATGTTTGTTTTACCTTAGAAAATAAGGTAATGAAGTTAGCTGGATATAATTTACATGAAATTTTGCTTAATTTTAAGCTTTCATTTAAGTTGGATTAAGACCAAACCTCATAGGACTGTGAGGACTCAATTGTTAATCTAAAAATTATAGAAACACTTCATTGAATGGAAAGGAGTAGATGCCTCATTTCATGCTCTCACCCAATGAAAACATTTATTCTAACTATT